GACATTTCGTGCGCAACCAGCTGCTCACGGCTCCAGAAGCAGACTGCTGATATTGTTCCCCGCAAGTCCAGAAAACCGCCCCCTATTAAACTTGCGTGGCAGACCCTCGACTTATCAACTTCTGGTCTCCCCTCCCTTCTGTCCCTGTTCTTATTGCTGTTCCCACTGCTGCTGTCGCCGCCGCTGCTGCACATCGACGTCGTCCACCTCCGAGTCTCTCTCTCTCGCCATCTCAGCATCGTTGGCGAAGCGAATAAGGACAACACGCCTGTCCATTCACCTGACGGATCCGGAAGCGAAGCACCCCCCGGCCACGGTGATCGTCGCAACAGGCCTGTGTCGCCACAGCACAGCTTGTAGCTGGCCAAAGTTCGAACCACCAGCTGGCCACTCGGAAGCTTCGCCTTGAACCGAGTTCAGTTCAATTCAGCACCGCCTGAACCCTCCCCCAGCGAAACCCCCACCAACCGCCATCTCACGAGCCTCTCGACCCAGCGGTCACCCATTCAGCCAAAATGGGCCTCTTTTCTCGCAAGGAAAAGGCCCCTAAAGCCTCGGGCAAGCCATCGATCAACACGTCAAACGTGAGCATCGCCTCTGGTGCTTCCAGCATTAAATCACCACCGCCACGCAGCACTACAATGAACAGGTCTTCCGGAACGAGCACAACGCCCGGCACGCCTTTGACGCCCTTCTCGCCTACCTCGATACCCAAGGTCGACATGCCGCGTCCTCCTGACCCGCAGCTTGACCCGGCAGGATACCTCAGGAGCTTGGGGGCGGTTAGAGAACGAAGCAAGATTGTCACGGACAAGGCGATTCGCAATGAATTGAAGCACTTTGACGTGGACATGCGCAAGTTCCCAGACGTTGTGACGTTCGTCTCTCAGATCATCAAGGTACGAGTCAGCCTTGGGGCGCTTCTGCAGGTGTCTGCGTGCCCTGGCACAGCACGCCCGCACGCTATTTGGGTCAGCGAATAGCAGTATACTGACCTTGCAAACCCCTGTAGAGAGACTACGACGCCCCGTACAATTCGATTCCTAGCCACGGAAGACACCAGCACTTCTGCGTCGGCGGTCGTGACCGCATTGCCCAGCTTCTTTCCACATTCCCCGAAGATGTCGACAATAGCGAAAAGTGTCGTCGCATGATTGACCTCTTCCTCGTGAGTGTGCTGCTTGACGCTGGCGCAGGCACAAAGTGGAGTTACAAGAGCACCGAAAACGGACGCATATACCGCCGGTCAGAAGGCATCGCCGTAGCCAGCTTGGAGATGTTCAAGAGCGTAAGTCTACTTAACGATTTTGGCGGACTCGTGCTTTGGCTAACAATCGTCAAGGGTCTTTTCTCCAGCGACAGCAGAAACAAGTTCCAGGTTGACAAGGAAGGACTGCGTAACCTGACAGTAGAGAGGGTAGCTGCAGGCTTGCAGTCGAAACCGGGTAACGAAATGGCAGGCATTGAAGGCAGGACACAATTGCTCCAACGACTAGCAAATGCCCTGACCGAAAAGAGGGAGTACTTTGGCGACAGCGGACGGCCAGGTCACATGGTTGGTAAGTTGACAACTCTCCGAGTGCGATGGAAATGAGGTGCCAGGACTGAACTGACACGCCTCAGACTACCTCCTATCGCATCCCTCGACTCAAGCTTCTTCAATGCCCATTGTGATTCTCCCTACGTTATGGAATCTCCTGATGAACGGCCTCATGCCCATCTGGCCAGCCTCCCGCACCTCGATTAACGGCGTATCTCTCGGCGATGCCTGGCCTTGCCAATCAATGCCGCAACCCCCGCAGAGTCCGACGACTTCACAATTTTCGCCATTCCCGCCATCTGCCCAGAACTCGACCGCGGCATGGGAATCTATTCTGCCGTTCCACAAGCTTACACAGTGGCTCTGCTACAGTTTGATGCAGCCCATGCAGTCACTACTTCGCATCCACTTTGCTGGCGTTGAACTGCTCACCGGCCTGCCTGAGTACCGCAACGGTGGTTTGTTCATCGACTTGGGAGTTCTTACGCTAAAGGCAGACGATTCCGAGAGAGGCCTCGAGCACTACGACGAGTACTGCAGAAGGACAAATGTTAAGCCAGTTGAAGTTGCACCAATGTTTGAGCCTAGTGACGACGTGATAGTCGAGTGGCGCGGTGTCACGGTCGGCTTCCTGGATAGGCTTTGCGCAGAAGTCAACAAGCACATGAAGAACGACCTGAAGGGCAATCAGTTGACTCTCGCCCAAATACTCGAAGCCGGAAGCTGGAAGGTAAGCTCGCCCAAACTATTAGATTCTCGAATGTGTCGCTAATACAATCTTCCAGGGAGGTCGTGAGATGGCGGAGTTTAGCAGACCCAACACGAAAGAACCGCCAATTTTGATCGATAGCGACGGTACTGTTTTCTAGACTGTTGTTCATGTTGGAGATGGAAGCATTGGACCGAGACATTATACCTTTTCTGCCATTGGTGAGACGACAGCGCCGATATGCATTGGATCATGGGCGCTGAGATTCGCCCTGCATGCCCACAGTGGATGAAGGGCACATTGGATGATGGGGATCGGATGGCGGCTTATGCGCCTTAATGAACATGACTTGGCTGGACGCCAGCGAGGAAGATTAATGCAATGCGAAGACCTCGGCGCAAAGCCTTGCTCGCCATTCAACCGCTCATATGGATAACTTGCCTGTCGATTGTGGAATGCTTGGTGAGAGAACTGTTCCTTTTCACCGTCCCATGCTCAGACTTCACATTCGCGGTCCGGTTCTCGGCCCCGCGTCGGAGCCCCACCGGCAGACCCACACACTTCAGCTGCCTGTTCTGCTCACGGGTCCGGCGCTGTGCCATTGTATCAACGTCTATCAGTCATACCCGTCAGTTTTCACCAAAGTTTGACTGTCCAGCTGCGCGAGGCACGAGGAGTTGACACGTGGGCATAGGGAAACTCTCTTTCAAGAGCGCCAAGGTAACTTATCATCCATGCCCTTGAAAGACCATCATTAACCCCGCGTAGGATCAAATTTGCATTTACGCCCGCCAGAGCCGGGAATCTGCCCACCTGCATCTCCGCCGCCGAGCAGAAAGCATGGCAACATTTCCGCAGTTCGGGCCGGATCCTGAGACGACGCTGCTTCAGCAATGCCAGTTCATCATCCACCGCATTACGGTCCTGCTCGATGAGCTTGAGCAGCTCAAGGCTGCCATCGAGAGGCGGCCTGCGTCGGGGCATAAGCCCGTGGCGTGGAACCAGGCTGTTCCCGGGCTCGGCTTCTTTGAACGGCTGATTGTTTCTGAGAAGAAGCATCTTGAGAAGATGGTGGCGGCGTATGATGGTGATGGTGGCGAGGAAGAAGGAGTTGACATCGAGGCGCTGGATAGCCGGATCCGGTTGAGGCTCGATGCGTCGAATTACAAGTTTTATGAGACGGTGTGGGAGGTCACGAAGAGGTGTTGCGAGCTTACGGGGATGAGGAGGGACTTGAGCTACAAGACCGTTGGCGGGAAGAGCGTGAGCGCCGTGATTGATTTAGTTGTGAATGGCGGCGCGGACTGGGTCAAAGTCGTAACGACGACGGAGCGGAGGCTGTTTTACGAGATGGCGGACGCCGGGTGGGATTGGGAGGAGGACTTCGCGGACGAGAGCGCGGACGAGGCCATGTTGGAGATTTTGAGGGACGAGACGGAGGATAGTATCGAGGTCGCCAAGGTCGCGAGGCATATGGTTGCCGCGGCGAGGACGTCGTATCAGGATTATCGGAGGCCGAGGGTGAGGATACTCATGTCGAGGGTGTCTGAGGGCGAGAACGAGGCCGTGGATCATTTATTGAGGTTGGTGAGGAAGATGGGCGACGGGGACGTGGATCTCGTGGTTGAGACTGCGAATGGTCCTGGGATCTTGACGGAACCGACACCGCCGTTGGAGGAGGCGATTGCGAATCTTGTGGAGGCGGATTATTACAAGGATTTCACGTCGACGGTGAATGTGGATTGCTCGGTGTTTATGGCGTTGGCGTCGGATTTCAGTCACATGGCGATTGGACCGGACTCGGAGCTGTTGAGGTCGAAGCAGCACCGGATCGACGCGACGGATGAGGTTGAGAATGGGCCGCGGTTGGTGAATACGCTGTATCCTGCTATCACCGGCCGCACGCTGGTTTGTACGAGGGAGGCGGCGGATACGTTCCTCAAGATTGTGGGGGATATTGGGACTGAGGAGGAGAAGGCGAGGACGAGGATTCTGTTTGAGAAGGGCGAGGCTGACGAGCCTGAGGGGACCGACCAAGATCGCGCGCGGCGGGTGAGGTTACTTCAAGAACTCTCTGTCTACCCTGTCCCTGAGGACCTACGCCTCCCCGTGCAGATTGTAGACTCTGTCTCGTGGGACGACGCGCAGCGAATGGTCGCTGAGGGCCAACTCCCCGCCGTCGCGCTGGCCGTCGGGAAAAAGGGGTCCGGGCTGAACGCCATGAACGTCTCTTCGTTCTTGTACGGGTGGAAGGCGAAGCTGACGACGGTAACGTCGAACTGGGAGGCGGCCAAGAGGTTGAGGACCGTGATTGAGACGAACCGGGTGACGGGGACGGAGGTCGGGCCGCATATTTGGCGGATACCGTTTTCGAGAAAGTTGCTTGCGAAGCCCAAGGTGATGCCGCCTGGTGGTGGTGGTGGTGGTGAGAAGAAGGATGGGGAGGGGTGGAGGTTGAAGACGAGGCAGGAAAGGAAGGTTGAGAAGGAGGCGAGTTTGCAGAGTTGGATTGCGAGTGAGGGGGCGGAGACGATTGCGAAGATGACGATAGATGATGGGAAATGAAACTCTGCATTCATTTCGGCATATCAACTGAACGTCAATCACTTGATAGGTCTAAGGCGGCTTCACAACTTGGAATCTCGATCCTTGCCTCCACCAAAGCCTCATCGACTTCAACCGCGACGTAGAGAAACCACCACCGCGTCTCATATCAATTGGAACTCATTGTCATTCTTGGCATATGCTATTTCAATCCACAGGCCCCAAAATGACACCGCAGTCGGGATACTTGATCCTCACCTCCGTCGTAAACACCTCTCCCACGTCAACCTCACCAAACCTCGTCAACAGCACCTCCTCGCAGTGCCTAGTATGATGATAACTCCAAATATAACTATCAACCCTCTCCAACCCGCCACTGCCTCCTCCCTCTCCACCACGACTCTGCATCAGCGCGCGGTGCATCCGCCTCCACATGGCCGTACAATGCCGAAGATGGTATCCCAAGCTGACATACACGCCGCTAAACTCCCCCGTCATAATCTGCTCCCTCGTCAACGACGGTGCCGTGCGGTTCGCGTCCGTGAACCAGGCGAGTTGTCCCGCTTCCACGAGCTCCGCTTCGAAGGTCTCGGCGAGGGCGGCGTCGTGGCATTGCGGCGGGAGCCAGTTGAAGGATATGAGGTCGAATTCGCAGCCTGCGGCGCGGGCTTGGGCTGGTGTTGTACCGCAGGGGGCGGTTTGGAGGTAGGTTACTGGGCGGGAGGAGGGGTCGTTGGGGGAGGCGAGGGTGTTGTCGTTTCTGTGGGAGGTGTTGAGGGTGCGGAGGTGGGTTGTGAGGATTGTTGTTACCAGGGCTGAGAGGGCGGCGCCTAGGAGGAGGGTTATGGTGAGGAGAAGGGCGAGGCGGGTGTAGGTTGTTGTAATGCTTCGTCGGTTTGGCTGAGGTTGGTGATGTTTTTGGGATGGGGGTTTGATGTCGCGAGAGCGGAGGAGGGAATGCGACGCTTCTTCGGGGTCGTTGGATACTGCTCCGGGGAATATATTCGCCTCATCCTCATCATCCTCGGTGCTTCGAACCTTCTCCCAGTCCGATTGCCGTGGTATTAATGCGCTCCGATGCTCCATCTGGTCACATTCGCCAGTGTCTACTATCCGTCTCTGTCGTTACAGCAGTTCGAAAAGTTGACAGCAGTGGAACCAGAGGGCGGCGGGAGTAAGCATTCAAGTAACATTCGCGACATCTTGAACAAAGGATTCTTCGTGCATGGTGGCGGGGAACCGTTTGGTTGGTCGTGCTGATGACCTTCCCTTCTTGGGATACTCTCACTATGGACCGGATCCTTCAGCATATGATTGCCGATTGCGTCAGACGTTGGAATCAAGGATGGTATTCGAGTCCCGATCGTCAGTCTTACTCTTCGAACCTTCTCCAGCTGAACTTCCGTTTTCTTTCCGTCCCTTCAACCTCAGCTGGTGTATCGTGTTCTGTGGCGGTGGGCTGGCGCCCAATAACAACGAGCAACCAGGCTCACCTGCATAATGTTCTTACCCCGGCTTGCTCTTATTGCGGCTGAGCGAATGGTTTGGCATGGGATTGGGGAACAGGCGGACAGCCTGCCTCCTGCTGCGTGGCTGTTACCTTCACAGCCTGATTTGCGTCCATGACCTTTTTCTACTTTCATCTGCTCATCTCAATGCCTTCTCTGTCTGCTTTCCCCATCGTTCACCACAGATCAAGGAACTACAACCAAACTCCAACCGTCCGTACGACTTATAGATTCTCGGTGACAGACGAAGTCTTACTCAATCGTTCACGATGGATGGCAAGCGCCCAGCGATCGATGACACTAGCTGTGGCTATCCTGGCACAATCAAACGACAACGAACTCTCCTTGACAACTGGGATAGCGAGACGCAACGTCCCATCGATGACATACCGCCAGAGTACCACCGCTACACAATCGCATGGATCTGCGCGTTGCCCACGGAGCTGGTAGCTGCAGAAGCTATGCTAGATGAGAAGCACGGCGTCTTCCCTTCTTACGCTTCCTACGGCAATACCTACACTGTCGATACCAATACATACACGCTAGGAAGCATCGGGGGACATAATGTTGTCATCACATGCCTACCAGCGGACCAATATGGCACGAACAATGCGGCCAACGTGGTAACCAACTTGATCCGCACCTTTCCGTCAACTCGGCTAGCATTGATGGTAGGCATTGGAGGTGGTGTTCCGAGCAGTGCTAGGGATATACGGCTGGGTGATGTTGTTGTTGGCACGAGAACGATGCAATATGACTTGGGAAAGATTGTGGCAGGTGCCGAGATCCAACGAACGGCGATTGCCAGGACCCTTCACCACTCTTTTGGCAAAGTCATCACAGTCTTGCGGGCCAAACACGACCGAGAATCGAGCCATATTTCCTTGATTCTAAAGGAAAAGTTCCAAAAACTTCCGCACTACGGCCGTCCGATAGATCCTGATCGCCTTTTCCTCTCAACGTACGACCACCCGGAGTCAGTAGCGTCATGCGACGATTGCGATGAAACGAAACGTATGCCTCGACGTGCACGATCGGACAATGACCCTGCCATTCACTATGGAGCGATAGCATCTGGCAACCAAGTCATGAAGAACGCCACCGAAAGAGACATTGCTGCTCGTACCCTAGACGTCGTATGTTTTGAAATGGAAGCGGCTGGCATCATGGATATTCTTCCTTGCCTACCAATTCGTGGAATCTGCGACTATGCGGATTCTCACAAGAATAAGGCCTGGCAAAGGTACGCCGCAGCTGTAGCCGCAGCATATGCTAGAGAATTACTCTCCGTACTCCCTTCGACGGACTCCGGGACACGAGCTGTCTCTCGTTTTGGCCCTCGTATGTATCCGTGTTCTACCATCCGGGAGTCGTGTCTGATCACTAAGAATTCTTCCCAGCTCAAGCCCTGCTTGACCAGCATGAGAAACAGACCCAGCTGATGGAGTTTCTGAGGTTTGATCAAATGGACTCCCGCCGATTAACTGTGAAGAGAGCACACAACAAGACATGCGCATGGTTCATCAAGCACCCAGATTACTGCGCATGGCTGAACGAAGAGAAGCTCAAACTACACCATGGGTTTCTTTGGCTTCGTGGCAAGCCCGGCGCTGGAAAGTCGACTATCATGAAATTCGCCTTGTCGAAAATGCAAAAGGACCCTCATTGGTCGCCGCTTGTAATTTCGTTCTTCTTCAACGCCCGGGGCGAATATTTGGAAAGATCAATTGAAGGGATGTATCGCTCCTTGCTGTTCCAGCTGTTCCAGGGATACCCTCAACTGCGATCTGTACTTTGCGATTTGTGTTCAACACAACAAGAGAATGAAGGTTGTCCCAGCCTAGACACTCTCAAAGATTTGTTCTCTAAAGCTGTCCTTGGAGTTGGCCAACTTCGACTTACTTGCTTCATCGATGCTCTGGATGAATGCGATGAGCAACAAGTCACAGATATGGTCCGGGAATTCGAAGACTTGGCTGAAGAAGCCTCAGCAGAAGAGATTGCCTTTCGAATCTGCTTTTCCAGTCGGCACTATCCATACATAGTTGTCAAAGTGGGGATATCGATGATCCTCGAAAACCAGGAAGGTCACGCGCAGGACATGGAAAATTACGTCAAAAGCTGCCTACGAATCGACGACCCTACTCTCGTCGAATATCTGCAACCGGAACTCCTCAAAAAGGCGAAGGGGGTGTTTCTCTGGCTGATCCTAGTCGTTGATATGCTCAATACCGAGTACTCGCAAGGTGGGCTGGCCTTGAAGAAAAGGCTTGTCGAGTTACCGAGCGATCTGGGCGCCTTATTCAAGGATATCCTTACGCGCGATAGCAAGGACATGGAGCGCCTCTTCTTGTGCGTCATCTGGATCCTTTGCGCCAAACGGCCTTTACGACCCTTGGAGCTTTTCCACGCACTCTGGTCTGGTCTATCACAGTGCGGCCTCGTTGACGAAGATCCCCCGGCAGTCACCAGCCCGAAAGACAAAGTTTGCGCCAAGAGATGCGTGATTAGTGCCTCCAAGGGGCTGGCAGAAATCACCAATTCTACGCAGCCAACAGTACAATTCATACACGAATCTGTCAAAGACTATCTTGTCAAAGCTGGCGGACTTACGGAACTCTGGCCTGATCTAGGCTTCGATTGGGAGCTCCTAGGTCATGAGAAACTGAAGCTCTGCTGTAGCGCGTACATAAAACATCACTTTGGAGTCGCTTTCCGTCGTCCTTACAACGTACATAAGGAAACAAAGCTCCCGTTCATGGAGTATGCAGCCCAGCATGTGCTCCCCCATGCCGATGCTGCAGCCGCTGGCATTTCTCAACGCCAATTTTTGTCTGAATTCCCAGTCCAAAAGTGGATTTCGATCTTTAATCTCTTTGAGCAGTACAAGATCCGTCACTATACGCCTCAAGCGAGCCTATACTACATTTGCTCAGAAATGGACTGTTCGAGGCTCATTCCCATGATACAAGGCGGAGATTGGCGACGTAGATCTGAGGACCGGTACAACTACCCGCTCTTTGCTGCCCTGGCTCAAGGGAATAGCAAATCAGTCGCCGCCCTCTTGGGAACATCCTCCGTCATCTACAATGGAACGAACATCATAGAAGGCTTAACACGCAGAAGGGACTTTTCAGACTTCAAGCAGCGAACACCGTTATCTTGGGCAGCTCAGAACGGTCGGCTCGGAATGGTCGAGCTTCTTCTGCGAGCCGGGTATAATGTGAGCGAATGTGACCATGGAGGACTCACACCACTGCACCGGGCTGCTGAGCAAGGCCATGAAGCGATTGTAAAGATTCTCATAGAGACTGGAGCAAGTGTCAACGTCGAGACCATGAACAAAGGTCTACGTACACCCCTTTCATATGCTGCCATGCATGGCCGGGAAGCGATAGTGAAGCTTCTCCTTCAGAACAAAGCGAATGTCAATGCCAGGAGAGAAAATTCATCCACAGTCTTGTACGAAGCTTCTAAAGTGGGCAGGTACACAGTTGACCCGTCAGAAGCAATCGTTAAGCTGCTCATTGAGAATGGAGCGGATGTTAACTCCAAGCACATGAATGGCGATGCACCGTTACATTCAGCTTCTGGAGCTGGCGATGTGAGGATCACCCGGCTTCTCGTCGAGAATGGTGCTGATGTCAATGCTGTCAACGGAGGTACAATGACAGCACTACATCACGCCTGCATCAGGACCAGGATAGAGGGTGACACGTCTGTCAAGGCAAGAAGCCGACCGCTCGGCCTGATACCAGTCGATATGAATGGTGGTCTCGATACAGTACTCACCAAAGTCGATCAGGTTATCACGAAGCTTCTCGTTGACGATGAACCGAAGGCCAATCACAACACCCACGGAGGCAATGCAGCATTCAAACTTGTGCCATCCTTCAGCTATGAAGAGATAATTCGACTTCTCGTTGAGAATGGGGCATATCGCAAACCAAGAGACCGCCGCCAAGGAGTGCCTGCGGAACCGTGGGTGATGGGTCCCCACTATGCTACTGCCAAATTTCTCCTTGACAGCCAGGCGAATCTCAACGTATTGAACGTGAATGGCAACACGCCGTTGGCGTTTGCTGTATTCGGTCGAGATAGGAAAATCCTTCAGCTGCTCTTGGAACATGGAGCAAAGGTTGACCTGTCAGGAGGCAGTATCACGCCATTGATTTACGCAATACGTCTTCGCAAGGAAGACATGGTTGTGGATCTCGTAAAGCATGGTGCAGACGTGAAGTTCTCAGATTACACTGGCATGACGCCACTTACTGTAGCAAAGGAGGTCGGATGCAGTGTCTGGCTGATCAGGCTTCTCGAAAGGCTGAGCGGTATCTGAGGGATTTCTATGGAGATATCAAGTGAGAACCTCGAGCAACGGGGGTCTATTGCGCCATGGGGAAAGTGAAGAGAAGATTTCAAGGGAAAGAATGGGAAGCCATCAGAAGACAGGTATGAGCAACGTCGAGTAGCACTTGCCTGAGACAAAACGGTTAATCCGTGATCGTTGTATCGTATATATAGCAACCTAATTTATCTATGATATGTCCTGAACTCTCAACTCTGTATTACATGAGAAGATGACGATGATATTACAATGACTCGATCGTAATATCGGTTTAAAGACAAGATGGGGCACAGAGGCTGAGATGCGTATCTTGCCTCGAATCTGTCATAAGGTTACTGCTAAACCTGGGAATGATCGATCCTTAGCGAGAAAGGAGCAAATACCTGTTGTTTCTAGTCATTTTTCTATGAAGAGTATGTTGTTGTTGATGCGCGGTTGGGGACTTTCCATGTGTATAAAGTCCATGACGCACTTCAACGGCATGCTCTTCTATCGGCTCGACACCGATTCAATAATAGGTCAGGTTCAAAGTGGTATTCGATAAACCACGAATGGTACGATAGAGAGGACTGTTGGCCAGTAGAGAACCATAGCCATGCAGAGGTTATTGAGACAACGGAAGGCTTTCATCATTAAGAAATTTCTCCTTTTTCCACGTCATTAACTTGTTGACTCATCCGCCTTTCCACCGTCTTCTTCATCATCATACATTCGTGTAGTTCCCTTATGACACTTGAAGCAGAGCGTTGGCCCAGAAATATCGCATCGAACTGAGCCAAGATGTCTGGGTAGCCAGTGAGACACTCCCTCGCTTCCCAAAGTAATCTTTCAGCTAGATCTGGCTCCGAGGTACGCTCAAGCATCTCCGCAATCAACGTATTGTATCTTCTTTGGTTTGGTTCGTCAACGTGTTCCTAAAACCAGTCAGGATAAGGCCAAGCTTTTGTTGAGGGCTGATATTGGAAGCGGTCTTCGTTTCAAGAACAAGGTTGAATGCAGGACATGAGAGGACTTGACAGAGTATTACCTGAATATCATAAGTCAAATGAATGGTAGGCTCAAGAACGGCTCCCTTGAAGTCAACTTGAGGATAAAGATTTTGGACGTCTTCGTTCTTCTTGACGGACTCGGCTATCATTTCTTCCCGGCTTTTCCCCTCCGTGTCCATTTGCGATGAGATGGACTCCATTGAGGGATTCACCTTGTTCTCCATGTTCGTTCGGTTTGTGTCCAGTTCAAATGTGTTCTGAATCTGACGACTGAAAACGGATGCTTGCGGCGAAGCAGAGAGCAACGTTGGATGTTGAGAGACTGGCCGAGGCAATTGAGGAATCAATCGGAAGAATGGGCTGCGGGGGGAGAACCTAGGCCTTATGTGTCCTTAGTGTGGCGGGAAAAGAGGCATGATCAGCGGGTTGCACGGGTTTGCTGCACAGTTGAACCGGAGGACCGTGGCGTGAGCGAATCAAGTCACAGTCAGGCACCCTATTGGTGTGACCTGCATATTCTGCCTGCACTAAACACCAAGGTGCTCTTTGGTGGCTTGGCGGTTTGGTGCATACTCCAGGTGTTGAAGAAAGCACTTCAAGAGGATGGAAAGGGCAGCATCTTCCATTCAGTGAGCGCCTGTGTAAGGTATGGCCGTATACGCTTCTACTTGAATCAAAGTGAATTTTCACCGGTGGGTTCACCGAAAATCCAGCTGATCACCAAATGCGTGAAGGCTTCTGTTTGATGCTCAGAATTGCGAAAACTCGACTGGAGGTATTGAGAGAACTATTAGGAGAAGAGACAAGCCGCTAAATCCAATGAGATATGAGTGGCGATAATCAGGAACTTGTGTTCAACTCTCGGTGGTCTAGGTTTCTTCCTTGTCTTGATCAAATTAACGTGCCAAGGCAGATCTCAGCATTTTGTAGGTCGCGAAGGCCTCGCTGGTCTCTTGGCGCCCTTCTTCCTATCCGCCTCGCTCGGTTCTGCGGGCTCAGCTGGCTCCTCGCACTCTCGTGGTCGAACAACGGGGTTGAGTATGTCTTCTGGTGCGATGGCGTCGTGTGTTTCGGCTCGACTGTCGAGACTCGATGGCGGTCTCAAAGGGATGCTCAGAGCAAGACCGCTCGAGACGAGGGTGGCAAGGAGAAAGAAAGATGTTGTCTTCATGTTTATATGAAAGTGTGTTGACTTGAATGTTTAATTGCTCAGCGAACCGTGCCCTTTTCGGAAGTAGAAGATAGAGATATAGATGATTAAATGTGCACTGCGTAGTCAAGCTCAGAAATGGGATCACTGAAGTTTAAGTAAGAATCGTCAATTAGTTCCGAAGCTAATTAATCTCCTCATTATAGGCGGCCTTCCGTGTGGGATACCGACGAACTCGGAGCAGACCGAGTGTTGGCTGACTCGGTTGAGCGAGGCACAGCCCTACAGATATTAATGCGATGAGTGTCGTTCGTCAGTCGGACCCATCTGGCGGCCTTTTTATAGTTCGGCTGAAGTTTCATATTCGCGAAGATGGGTCCCGCAACCTCCAATGTGGGCGTAGTGAGTGATAGAGTTGACATTCGGTGGCTTAATGAAATCATTATACCCCGGGTTTGATGACCACGAGCGGGGTTCCCAATGACTTCCATGAATGAGACGACTCGCTCTCGGACCACGGCTTTTGGACAAGGGATGTTCCAAGGCCCGTATCAAAAGGCTCAAGGAACCGAACTTGCTGCCCGGCCTTGCAATTTCATGAGTGACAATCCATTGTCAAAAGTCCCTAGATATTTCACCGTGTGCTTGGAGGATTTGGAGAATTGCTCATGGCAAAAGTTTTGCACCAATCTTCCATCTTCAATTATTATGTACTAGAATTAATAACATGTACTGGTCTTCCATCCAAATATCTACTTTTATGTGCCCCTCGATCGTTTCGTTTGTAAACTTCAATGAAGTCTAATGCTCTACTCAGTGAAGGCCTTCAGCTCAACCAGACGAACGCGCTTGCCATCTTGTGGCTTCACGAGAATACGGAGAGATTGGGTAGACACTCCAGTCCACTTCGCATTGGTAATACCGTTGGCCAACGGCGCATCGTACGTCGCATCAGCCACATCGGTCCATTCACCACTCAGAACCTGCAGCTTGTAGCTGGCGGGCACATCGAATCCTTTCTCCTCATTTGCGAAGAAAGCTATCTCAGCTCGGGCAGCCTCAACAGCGGATCCGAACTCGATGCTGACCCACTCCTCGGCGGTGCTACCCTCGGGAGTATCAAAGCCGTTGGCGATGGTGTCCTGGGTCCAGAACCAGATGCGGCCGTCAAATACATCGTGAACACGGTTAATGTCGTAGTTCGGGACGGAGGCGTTGATAATGGGCAGGGGCTCGGTGGCCTGGAGCTGGACGGACTGGTCAAAGGGACGCGCGACAGAGACCGGCGCGCGTGTGACCTCGGCGGTAAGTCTCTCGAGCTTATCGGAAGAGGCGACTACCTGTCCATCAACTTCAACTCGGAGACCTGCTTCGCCGTAGCGCTCGCCAGTAGCGTCCCACTGAACGGCAACTTCACGACCGTGGTAGAGGATACGCTCCGCGCGGAAGTAAGAGATGGATGAGGGGTCGGCCAAGGGGTTGACCTCAAGCACGTCGTCCTCGCGGGGACGAATGCCGACGAAACCGGTGACAATGAGATCAACGTAACCAGAGTGGAAGTAGTGGTGCGAACGTCCAAGGCCAACAATCGGTTCACCAGTGTCAGGGTCGTAGTTCTCCTCAATATCCAGGATGTTGCCGTAGTGCTTATTGTAGTGCTGGTTGGCGTACTGCTTGAGCAGACGAGTGTAGTCTCCGACTGTGACGTGGGCCGCAGTGTTGGGGTAGTGGTCGAGAACGTTGGCCAGGGAAGTCAAGACCTGAGTTGTCTGATACGGCCAAGAGGGACCGTTCCAGTGGCACTCGGTGTGAGTACCCTCGTATCTCCAAACACGCATGTAGTACTCGTACGAAGGCTCAACAGTGCGCAGGCCAAAGGGACCACCGAGCTCCTCGGAGTTCAGCGCATGCTTCCATGCCTCACCAAACTTGGCGTCATCATCCAGCAAGTCATGGGCCCAAGGAACGAAACCAGCGAGCTCACGGCCGCGGATGAAGTCCCAGTAGGTGACATTTTCGTTGTCGACTTGGTACCGATCGATGAAGTGCTCGAACGTCGAGTTCCACAAATCTCTCTGGAGGGTGTCCTTGATGTTCTGGGCACGAGTATTGTATTCCTCAACAACGCTGTCCAGGCCGCCCTTGAGAGCAGCAGTCTTGGCAATCGCACGAGCATTAGCGTACTGGTAGGTGTTGATGGTGGGGCGGAATGCTTGACCCCCGAAGAAACCATCGTAGCCGCCAGAGGCATCGATACTCGAGATGGTGTACTCCGTGGCGTCGGCAATCGGCTCGATCCAGAAGAGTCCCTTAGCCTCGTCAAAGTGGTCTCCCACCCACTGGTTGTAAACCCGTTGCATATCGTCGAGGAGAGAAATGGCGAGGGTCGGGTCGCCGTCGACCAGGTAGTTCCTCCAGACGCCGTCGGCTAAGCTCTCGGAGTATTGGCGGGGGTTGCTGTCCGCGCTGTACATGAAGGTCGCGTGATCCTGCTTGAAGCGCGGGTCGCGGCACCACCGGCCCTCGGACAGGTGGAATATGGCGGCGCAGTTGTTGGAGGCCCATGGCTGCGTCTGCCAGCCGACGTTGTCGATGAACTCAGTGGTAATGTAGCCGTACTTGGTGCCGACATCGCGCTGGTGAGTTCGGAAGAGGTTCCAGCGGTAGTAGTAGACGTCGGTGATCTCCGTATCGCTCGACTCAAAAAGAGGGATGCGGTTCTTGTACCAAGGCGCGTCGTTGCCGAAGTACTTCTCGGTGACGGCGTCGACATCCAAAGCAGCTTGCGCAAGGCGAGCGCTGAGAGGGATCACGGCTAGGGTTGCGGAGACCCTCATCTTGTGAAGATTGGTAAGGCAATTGAGCTGATGCAAGAGAGCCGAGTGAAAGGCTTGAGGTTGCTGAGGCCAAAGCTCTGGACTTTTCGTAAAGGAGTTGGCTCCATCATTATATATCAGCCCGCACTGCGGCTGTTGATGGCAGATCACTTGATTAGATCGATGTTTTCGTGAACGCTACACGAACTGGGCCACTTCGTCTTCCTGGTCCCATGATCCGGCGGTCTTGGCTTCGCAACTCAAGTTTCCGTGTCTAACAGACTTGCGCTTAATGAGAACCTGCATAGTGCCTGCAGATTGCCCTGAAGAACCACACCCGTACCAATCGAACCGAGCCGCTTCCCCTGACGGGATCCAGAACTGCCGTGACCTTACACGGGCAGAACCGATGACGATGGCGACTGGCAGGGGCAGGTCTGGGGTGATTATGGGGACCGGGGTCCCCGCATCTCGGTCGATTGGCGCGCGAATGGGACGCGACCGACTCAGACGCGGTTTTCGCGGGGGCGGGCGACTAACGGTTACCGAGGAAAAGATCAACGTTTACTTCTTCATAGATACGAGATGACAGAGGTAGGTTTGAGGCTATCACGAACGGTTCCTCTGGGCATGGGGGCTCGAGAAATTGTACTGTGGGGCAATACGAAAAGGTTTGTAGACTGTAGGCAATCATCATTGTCGCACGTGGAATCCTCAAGCGACAATGCAAACATATACTTGTACGAGCCGCATGCGCTGCCTTTTAATTTGTTGACAACTTGATGTACCGTAGCATTATTAAACCTGTGGAACTAGAGGTTGGCGGCAATGGGAGTTTGCACCTGAGCAGTGAGCCGTCGCTTAAGTCAGTCGGGTCAACCCGTGCGGCTATCTGCATTCGGCATGGATGGCGCATGCGTGAACATGTTGCATACAGTTACGGATCGACGTTGTTTCCACGTGTCTTGCCTGCCTCTATTGGAGCCCTGGCGGTCATAACTCTTATTTCACCTCGCCCAAGTGAGATTTGCGTGTCTCGTGCTAGCCGACAGGTGCTAACCTGGGGCCAAGTGACCTTGCCATGGGAGGTCAAGCAAACACGTCAAAGTCAGTACAAGATCGAGCCTATAATTGTGTTGAATTATCAGACAGGAATGAGATGCTGCCGCTGCTCGTAGAAGTCTACAGGCACTTTTCACTACTTGTAGAAAAGATGTTAACGTTCTGCACATGATTCCGACATTGCAGAATGCGGTAGAAGGGGTTCTACATGCGAGCTGAGGATGGTGGACGTGATTCCTCTATCAAAGCCCATCAAACATCGCAAGTCCGTAGGTAGACTCCTTGACTCGAAATAG